CATATGTCCAGAGAAAACTCAGTAGGTACATTTTTCTATCTAGCAATACTACTTTTATTTCACCCATTAGCGGCACGTAATCCGCCGAAGGCGACAAGACCAGAAACATCCAGTCACGCCTATAAACAAACATCACATATCTAATAAGGGCTGCGTTTATACAGGATGAATAGAGACCTGTAACATCTGGACGACATGCCGACATACGTTTGACCCGCTACTTGTCCACAAAAGTGCGCAGATAATACGAAATACTGCGAATACGAGAGGGAGCCGAAGCCAAAAAAGAAGTATTATCTCAAAATTACCGGATATTCCTCACACAAAATATAGTATAAACAAACAGCAGCGATATTCCTTACCTCCTATGTTAGCCCGCGCCCCACTGGGGTCTGCGTATAAAACGCCCTACTGGGGGGGGGGGGGGCTCTCCATAGCCCCCAGCCTAACTCCGAAACTACTTGGCCGATCGTCAAAATTCAAACGGCGTCTGATAGCCCCGGAAAAACTGTCGAAGGAAACCTAATTTTATTGACCTCGAGGTCACCGATGACGGCACAGGTCAGGTCAAAGTAAAAAATTATTAGCATTTTTGCTTCTTCACATTTTGGGCTCTGGCCGCCGTCTTACAAGTCAGATCAGGCTCATTTTTTGTTTACACACTCGTGAACAGATGCTCTAGATATCCTGGGGGTACCAAACTTGTACTTTGATTTTCTGGTCAGGGTCAGGTCATCACAGATCACGGAAATATTATATCATGCGTCGGTCACGTGACACATGTTTTATGGTCCATTAAGGCCATGGATTTCGAATTTGATGCCGTCTGTGTTATTCGAGGTCATTTTGAGCCGAATTTAGCTTAGGTCAGGTCACTTTCAGGTCAAAAAAGGTCATATTTTGAAGCTAAAATTTTTCAACAAAAAATGTGTCTATTGGATGTAGTTTGAGCTCAGGAACACGATGGTGCTATTTATATTGGTGTACGATGTCAAATACGTACTGAAAAATTGATTTAAAAAATTAATATTTGTGAATTTTTGCAATACTTAATGCGGAAAACTTAGCCATTTTTGAAAACATTTAGCTAAAACTTGCTAGACTTAATCAAAAACATGCGTTCTATCACATCTATTCCATTTTTTTTTTCTCGAAAAATCGAAAACTTTTTGAAAAATATGAAATATAAATTTTGAATTTTATTAAATGAAATTAACGAAATATTTGAAATTTTGAAAATCCGAGATAGCAGTTTTAAAGCGCAGTCTATTCTGAGTCCTTTCATGCAAAGAAATTGGATCTGGCTTAAAAACTGAGCTCTTGGGAGCGATTGCCGTGGTTCAATGTTTTGTGTCGAAATCGGCCGAACATGACGTCACTCTGACGTCATTTCCGGCCGACCTATGGTAACTACGAAGTTCATATTTTGACACAAGGTGTTAAATTGATGCAGCCGAAGGTACTGAAAGTTTAGCGTCGATACGTCAAGCAATTTGGAAGTTATTGCAGAAAAACGGGAGGGGGGCTATGTATAGCCCCCCCCCCCCCGTGGGGCGTGAGTTAAGGTGGCTAGTTTAAAACACAACCACTGAATCACACTGGATAAGAACAAACAAACCAGATATGACACTGGTAGCCACGAAGCTCACAAACGAGAATCACATCTATAACACCAATAACTAACGTACAACGGCGGCCGGCCACGCACTTGTCAACACGTTTCAGCATTGAATTTCGCTAATCAAAGCATTTACCGCATCAAACCTGTGTAATTCTCAAAACTGTGTACCACTTAAAACTGACTTTTGTGAGTCAAACTGCCGAACCGTTAGACAGAAGTGGCAGCAGTGCGGTTGCACTTCGCATGGGTACGCATGTGTTTGGTGAGGTGTGCCCGTTGAGTGAATCGGGCCTGGCAGTGTGAGCAGTCGTACGGCCGCTCCCCCGTGTGAGTCCGCATGTGTTTGATGAGATTTCCCCGTTCAGCGAACCGGGCCTGACACCGGGAGCAACTGTACGGCCGCTCCCCCGTGTGGGACCGCATGTGATTGTTTAGGCTTGACCGTTGAGTGAACCGTGCAGTACAGATGGAGCAGCCGTGCGGCCGCTCCCCCGTGTGGGTCCTCATGTGTGCCTTGAGGTGTCCCCGTTCAGCGAACCGGGCCTGACACCGGGAGCAACTGTACGGCCGCTCCCCCGTGTGGGACCGCATGTGATTGTTTAGGCTTGACCGTTGAGTGAACCGTGCAGTACAGATGGAGCAGCCGTACGGCCGCTCCCCCGTGTGGGTCCTCATGTGTTTGATGAGATTCCCTCGTCGAGCGAACCGTGCCATGCAGATGGAGCAGCAGAACGGCCGCTCTCCCGTGTGGGTCCGCAAGTGTGTGATGAGGTTTGACCGCTCAGAGAACCGTGCCTTGCAGATGGAGCAGCCGTGCGGCCGCTCCCCCGTGTGGGTCCTCATGTGTTTGATGAGATTCCCTCGTCGAGCGAACCGTGCCATGCAGATGGAGCAGCCGTATGGCTGCTCTCCCGTGTGGGTCCGCATGTGTGTGATGAGGTTTGACCGCTCAGAGAACCGTGCCTTGCAGATGGAGCAGCCGTATGGCCGTTCCCCTGTGTGAATTCTGCGGTGGCGTTCCATACGGGTGGACTTGTCGGTCGAGTATTGACACCACTCGCACTTGAATCTGCCGTTCCTGCCGATGTGACCGTGACTTGTCTTCACATGTCCGTCCAGATAATGTCCCAGACATCGGAAGTCGCAGTGGGGACACCGAAGTGTAAAGCCAATACCTGTAAAACACATTTAGAGATTGAGAGAGATCGAAAATATTTCTGGCCAGCTATGTACAACATCAGGGTAAAATGATTGGATTCAAAATTAACAGTGAAGGACATGCATCGCTCCCTTATTGCCAGTGAAGTAGGATTAGGGCCCAGTTGTCCCATTTGGGGCTGGCCGGAGAAATTCGAGAGCCAGTAGCCACTCAGCGCGGTGGTCGATGCCTGACATGCGGTCACGACGAAGGGAGAGGTCGAGGAGCGGTGATGGAGATTGCGACGGCAATAGACAAGTAATGGACAAGATCGGTTGGCTGACACAGATGAAAATCGAACGTCCACAAACGCATGGGTGGTGCAAGACCCACGGTTTTTTGCAATTCGAAAAGACATGAACTAATACGGATGGATAATAAATTGCGCCCTTGAACGATCGCACTTATGATCTCAGCTGCACAGGTTGTAACGAAATTATCCGAACATCTTTCTTCCCGCTGGAATTGAAAAGCCAAACAATCTGATGGCTTTCCTTCAATGGCGATTGAGCCACACATCATAAGACAGTTTCGAGTACGCTGGAGCATCTCAACCACTGGGTTCTCCAGCAAACTGGGTTTGATGTGGAATTGTGGACCGACGCCGTCTTGACCTGTGCCTACAGCTGGGCGGTGCTGGTGACGGTGTCTCCTGATTCACCTCCTGTTGGGCAGCAGTGCTTATAAGTTTTCGATGGCAATGGGATCGGGGCTATTCCCAAGTCATAGCCCGTGAGCCCAGAAAGGTAAGAGGCTCCCTCAGCATCATTTTTCATTTTCTAGGGACTTTGAGGTGGCGCGCCGCCCCGCATGAAGACAGCGTGACTTGAACCAGACATCCAGTGCGCTTTCAGAAACCGAGTCCTCCTGTGCCGTCCATTTGAGCGCCTCCAACCATTCGTTGGCCGGGATGCTGCTCCGGTAAGTGCTCGTCGTTGATAGTGGTTTTCTGTGACACCACGTGCTACTGGAACATCGCGCGGCAGCTTAACATGCACCAGACGGATATTGGCCGGATGTTTGACGCTGTTGACGGTCGGCACGTTAGAAATGCTCTCGACGAGGAGCTCTAGAGGTCACTCGAGGTCAGGTCATCGGGTCACGCCAAGTGACCTTACTTCCTTTGAAGCCTCAATGCCTGTCATAGCTACAGAGAGATCGATCGCATTGAAACTTTCAGCTATTGATAACACCAACAATTTGTGCAAAATGTATATCTCGGAATTTTAATAACGGTCAGGTAAGGTCAGTTCAATATTGCGATCTCTCCAATATGAGTCAATGGGAGAAAATTGGAAGGTACCTGCTTTAAACGAACGTCATTTTAAACACTTTAAAACAACGAATTGCAAGTAAAAATGACACAAAGGACCGGAAATTGGCACCCGCGGGCCGCGACCCATCCTTATGTCCCCGAGGTTATCTTAGGTCAACATGTGCCGAAAATGTGCATGTAGTGGTGTGCTAAAAATAGCAGCCCTCCACGTTTTTTGATATACGAGTATACCTATGCCAAAAAGAAACAGGACGGGGGTCAAAACACCCCTCCGACCCAGCGAGGGCTAAATGTTCAAATACATGCTACTGAACAATATGTTAAAGTTTCTTTCGGGAACCATTGACCAAAACCAGAGGCAGACCGCCTCACCTTCAAGCGCAAGGATTAGATCGCAAACCGAAATGTCAGTTCAACAGACCAAACCCATGTAGTTTGGTAAATATACATCAAGCCTACATACCTACATTAGACCAGCTTCAACTGAACGGACCACCCGTTCCGTCGTTTCCATCCTCAGGACAGTCAAATCCTTCTCCACGCCTCAAACCCCCTGCTCCGGGCTGGACGGGCAATTATAACCCATACGGGAATGACTCCACTGGAGCTAGCCCGTAGCCGGGTGCAGTGAGTGCCAGTGGGCTACGCGGCCTGTCCAACCGGACGGGTTCAGCCCAGGTGACTCACTGGGGTGCCTGTCCAGACCAATGCCTTCCCTAATCCCTATCATCCTTCCAGCTCTGAAATGGTCTTATAGGACAGAAAGGGCCGAACCCAACAAAACAAACAAAAATGAACGGACCGGACAAGAGCATAGTCAAGAGTGTTGGTAGAGAAAGTAAATTTATCTCCAGGATCCTTTCGATTGACACCGTAGCCCTCAGAACCGCTAACGATGAACTGACCTGAAGATGACGGTCCGGCCGGAGAGGAAGTCACAGACTCCCCAGACGTCTCCGAGTGGACGGTCAGCTCCCGGGCCGAGTCGTCTCCGTAGTACACCAGCAGCTCAGAGCCCCGAGGAACGGGCTTCGACGTCCTGCATAGGTCGATGAATATATCACAATTGGTCATGACATGGCCTTTATCAAGTCAATACAGCAATGGTCATCAATAACTTAGATGAATCTATGAGAAAATTTACAGGTACCATAACGCAAACTGCACACAAAATATTACACGCAGTTTGATAGGACAGATCCGTGGATTTCAAGACAACAACACACCTGAAGTATATCTGACCCCGGTACTGGAAGGCCACTAGGTTTTGTTCTTCCTCCGAGCGGGCACAGTTGACCCTTCTGAGCCAGTTGCTGCAGCTCGGGTCTTCGGCATTCACCGAGTGATGTACCCGGTCACCCTTCTTGATCTGAGGTACCAAACAAAAACATAGTTCATCAATTCAAGGAACCAAACAAAAATATCACATCAATCCTGGGACCAAAACAAAAATATCACGTATGCAATGAAAACATTGTCAATTTTCTATGTTTCTAACATTAGTTTGAAATGTGTTCTAAAAGTTTTTTTATCGTCTAAATGACTCCATAGTAAGAGATGCGACATGTGACAGTGTAAAAGCAATGGGGGCCGACGCTATATTCTTATACAATATATGAACCAGCAAAAATATGTATTCGCAAGAAGAGCAGAGGAGATTCGACAGAAATGACAAAACTGACCTGCCATCTGTACCCGGTGGTTCGAGCCTGACTCTGCTCGGTGGTCAAGATGCCCTCGTAAGGACCGAGTCTTTGGCGCGCAGGAAGGTCCTTCTCCGCCAAAACTCCTGGAATCAAATAAACGCATAACTTGAAATCACCTAAATAGAAACACATGACTGTACTGATACACGGGACACCAAATTATGCAATACAAGCACCATTGCCAAATGATACAGCAGTTGCTAGACGCATCGCCATTTGTCTTGCCTCATTAACTTACCGGTGCCAGACGCTGGATTTGTCGACTGACCAGAGCTGAGAGAAGGCGGCAGGGTCTTGACGTCCCTGTCGGCATCTCCGATACCGGGTCGTGCCTGGAATAGTAATGTACCTATTAGTGATGTCAATTACGGATAATCGGAATACCGATACCAAACCAAATACCAACCAAAACCACGGGAAAATACCGAAACCAAACCAACTTGGGAAACTGAGGGAAATACCAACTTTTTACCGATTTCTTAGCCTCTTATACATTAGTGACGGCTTATGATACCAACAAAATACCAAACACATTACGGTTGAAATACCAAATACCAAGATGGTATCGGTTTGGTATCGGTATACCAAAAAGTTCGTATCCGATTGACATCTCTAGTACCTATGTAGGGCGCAATGTCGACAGAGGATGATATAATGCAGGAATTGAGCTTATCCTTATACTGTACCTATAGAAATCAGCCGGCATGTTTTCGGAACAAAGATCATAGAACTGTTGAACTGGTCGCATCCATGTCAGTATCGACAAAATTGCAGCACAGGCAATAACTGTCAAGAAAGTTTTGTATATATAAAAATCGACAACTTCCACATGTACCTATTGTCATTTTGCAATTTAGCACCAAATCGAACAGATTCAAAATTAAATGTTGAAATATGGGGGGCACCTACTGATGTAACTAAAACAGAACAACACAAAACATGAACAGAGATAATAGGTATGGACTTATGGAGGATAGTCCCTTACCTTGGTATCGTGTATGATCTTTAGCGGTCCATGGACGGGGCATTCACCGTCACAATCGCGGCAGCACACGTCACAAACTGTCAGAAAGAAGGGCGAAAAAATTATTAGCGATTTGATGAAGAGCAGACCAAGGTTTAATCGTTCAAGGTTCCGTTAGACGGAAACAATGCGTCTGTATTCGGTTTAATTTGTCTGCAATATGAGTGCTTATCGTGTACATTCGTCCGTTGATGAGGAATAGCTAGCTGACTAAAATCGGGAGAATACTCACATATGTTACTATCATCGAGACCGTCCACATCTCGGTAGTTAATGACGAGACGTTGACTCTTGATGAACTCTCCTTCGGCAAAGACTGCAATGAAATACAATGAATGGTTTTGTATGATTGGGTGGCATTAATCTCAGGCGCCAATTCAAAAGAACGTATGACTGTCAGACCACTACATCACTTTGTAGAGTCTAAATCAAATAAAATTAAAAAAAACTGACAAATTGTCTGCAAAAGGTACAAGAGAAAGGTCGATGATAAAATAGAGGGACGACATGCATTTTCCTGGCATCTGTCAACTTGCCTTCTGCCGAGTCTTCACTGTCCGACGGGCATCCCAGTAGCATATCCCTTTTTACACTGGAGATGAAACAAGCACTGAAAAAAGAAGCACCACAAATATATATCATTTCATCAAATGGATAGTCTAGAATGTCAAATAACTACTCAAATTTCAACAACAGCACTGAATCATGCCCTAACCTGTCCCGGTCCACCTCAGTGAACCCGATGAAGTCCTCAGACGGTGACGGTGATCGAGGTCGGTACTTTTCCTCCTTCACTAAAGAATGCAGAGCGCGGTCCGAGAAAGGATCGTCGTCCGACACCGAGGGAGACGACGGCCGCTCAACCTAAACCGGATCAACAGACGAACAATATTCAATGAAACATGAGATGTTTATCCTCCACAGATATACAAATTGGAACACATTATGCGCTGTCATTCCCTTTTATTAACCTCGCAGCTAAAAACCAATGAGAGGTGAGCACCAGGCATTTGAACACTTACCCTTGGTGAAGTGACTTCAATCTTTATCTCCTCCTTCACAACTGGCCGAAAGTCGCTCTCAGAGCCACTGTCTATGGGAGTAGAGTCCCTCAGCCTCTGAGACTTCCTCACACTCTGTGACGGACCCCATTCCCCATCGCTGTCAGCGGAGCCCTTCCGAGACCACTTTGGTCCTTCTGGTGACGTTGATGCAGCCCGCATGAGCGGCAGTAGTTCAGACACTGATGGATCTGGAATGGGGTCCAACATCAGTTCACATTGAGTTGACTAGATGAAAGCACAAAACGGAGAAGTTATGTAGCAAGAAAATACAAAGTTGCAGAGTTATCACCACCAATAATTGAATAATTCCTTATGGAATTAATACCCATAAAACATTTCTCAATAATGACAATGACATGGTTTGCCAACAAGAATGCAGCAGGAAAATAATGGAGGTGCTCCTATACCTAGTCTTTAGATCCTGGCTTTATATGAAAAAACTGTTTGTAGCCTCAAATGATCTCTGATGACCTTTCTAGAGAGCAGGCTAGCAGCAAAAGACACGTTTGTTGTCACTAGTAGTCCAAATCATTGTGATTCTGAAATATTTTTACTGTTCCTCCTGACCTGGCAGGCTGACATGACCTCAACCTGGGGTCAAAAATTTCATATGTTGTCAAAAAATGATGCACTACAAGCTACATCAAGCGGTGAGGCGCTTCGCACCAGTTTTTTATTCACACACAAAAAACTGGACAGGGTGGTAACAAATGCCCCCCCCCCCCCCCACTGGGGCAAAGGTTAAAACCACTGGGTAAATACTATTAGAATTGTCTTGTGGCGACCTACATGATGGTACTTTCCATTTCCCACTGTTGAAGCTTCTTCCTTATCCATGGATGCCTAGACAAAATCATTGCGTCAGGTTTGAGGTTAGGTAAGGTCTGGTTATGTTTCTTTTTTAATATTTTGGAGACACCTACCTTATCATCATATCTGGATTTAGCGCGTTAAAGGGACCCTCCCACCTTCAAAAAAGTTAATGAATTGGCATAAAAGTGATATCCCTTGGTTCTGAAAGATCAAAAATTAATATCTACCAAATTTCACCAAAAAATATTCACTGGTTTACAAGATATTAGGCTTTTAAATTTGTTTACTTTTTGGAATCTCTGCTGTTCCTAGCGACTATTTGAAAGTGCGGGCCTTGTTGCGCTTAAAACAGCATATACCGCAACGTGCTACCAAACGTTTTAGTAAAACATTTAAAATCGTTAGATCTCCACTGACATCACAAATTCTAAGGGGGCATTACAGTGCAGTAGCCCCTTAGAATCTGAAAACTGTAAGTTTGAAATTCCATATATCCGAATTAAAGCATTTTTTGATGTTGTGAGTGCCCAAACCGGTACTGAAGGCCATGGCCACCAATTTAGCTATCTCAACTCAAAACTAATGTTAAGGTGGGATGGTCACTTTAAAAATGGAAGAATACATATTACGTAATTAGGCACTACTTACTTTTGAAAAGTGAGTTGATGCTATTACACCGAACTTACCATGCTGATCCATCTCAATCTCCAAATCAAGATCCCTCGTTTTCTGTGTGAGTCCGCTCAGAATGATAATTCTATAGATGGCCTTGATGAGAATAAGTTGAAGTCAAAGTTGAAGAGTTTTATACACAGCCTTGAGTTGATGTTGTTGTTGTTGAAGAGTTAGGGGCCTTGAGTTGAGGTTGAGTCCAAGCGCGCATCACAGCAACGCGCGCGCGCTCTCACGTGCTACTGCATCAAAACTGCGTCATGAATGTCGAAACCAGAGTGCTGTTCACGGGCACCTGCGGTAGCTGCGGCTCGGCGGTCAGCCGGGTAATGACGTCACAGAAAGTGGGGATGGGGCGGTTGGTGTGACGTCATACGGCTGCGGCCGGCTGCGGTCGCCTGCGTCTCCTGCGGTCGAAACGATCCGACCCAGCGGGGTACGCTCCGGCTGTTAAGCATTATGAAAAATGGTGACAGACGTTTGTGGAGGATTGTCGACGAGCTCTTGTTCCGTGAGCAGTACTTACACGCTAGCGGAAAATTCACCAATCAGCGCTCGGCGGTACTCGACGCTGATTGGTCCGACGCTCGTGACGAAATTGCGGGGGACTGCAGTTATTCTCTATGGACCCGAATAGGCTTTTGGATTTCGGAGGGGTTTCTTTAAAATCATATGCTGTTTCGAGCTGTTTTCGAGTTGAAATATATTTCTTATGACTGTTACCTATATAATGGCACCATAATATCATGATTTTGATAAATATTACCGATGAAATATCGGCCGAAAAGACATGCTGTCATGGTACGGACTGCCCTGCGGCTGATGTGGGGTCCCTAATGCCAGCGTATGGTAATAATGGGGTGACGAAGGGTTATTGGAGACTCTTAGAGCCCCATCAGCATTCAGCATAGGGTCATCAGAGGCCGGGAACGTCCATCAGGGGTCTGAGTAGGCCTGTCATAGGGGCATACATGACACATCATGGCCTATGGGTCAATGTAGATCCATGGGGCCGTTGAAGGGCCAGCATTGTTCAGCGTGGGCTCGCAATTACCTCTGATGGGCATATGCCGTGCCCCGATGGACTAACGCTGGCCCCTGATGAACCATCACCAGCCCCTGATAGGTCTACAAAGCCCACTGCTGGGTCTAAATTGGTCACTGATATGCCCAAATGGGCCACTGAGAAACCCGTACAACATCCCCTGACTGCACCTGCTGGACCAGTGCCGTCCTCTCATGGGCCCACCACAGCTCTTGAATGACCTTTTCAAGTCCCTTGAAGTGCCTTTATTGGCCTAAATGGCCCCTGATTGGCTTATGTGGTCCCTATTGGTCCTATATGGCCCCCATGAGCCCTCAACGTCCCTAGACGGCCTTACATTATATGTCACTGGGCCCTGTTGGGTCAGCACCGGCCCCTGATAGGCTTGCACTGGACCCACCGGGCCTATACCGACCCATGAAGGGCCTATGTCGAGCCCTCATGGGCCTCCGATGACCACACGCCGGCATGTGTGGCCCCATCAGCAGTGGTCCGTCTATCCCATGTACTTACGGTCTTTTTGGTCGATGTGACACCGGTAGTATATAGAAATGTTATGATTAAATGTCGTTATTACACAGTCAAAAGTCACAGAAAGAATATCCAAGTTCAAAAATGGCCTCAAACCCAACAAAAACTGGTACAAATCCCCTTCAAAAGCCGTAAGTCTATTAAACGCCATAGGGGAATAGCTGCAGTCCCCCGCAATTTCGTCACGAGCATCGGGCCAATCAGCGTTGAGTATTGCCGAACGCCGATTGGTCGATTTCCGCTAGCCTGTAAATGCTGCTTGCGGATATAGTTTTGAACAAAAGAGGGTCGCGGCTACTAATTATCGCTCGTCACCACTTTTTCGTCGGGAGCGTTCTACCTGGTTTATATAGCCTTGATCCGACCGCAGCGGCCGCAGGAACCATTTGTCATGCAAAGTGGCGCGGCAGTTGCGCATTCGTGTAACTTGGGCGGAAAATTGACACGGCCGCCTCAGACGAACGCGTGATGACGTCCGCACAAGTGGGCGGGACTTATAGCCTGCGATCTACCGCAGCTACCGCAGTTACCGCAGGTGTCCGTGAACAGCACTCAGGTCGAAACCCAAGGCTCAGGGTCATCGAAATCTATACGAGCATCAAATAAGCAGCAGATTGATATTCGAAACCATCCAGCTAAGAAATTGATATCCGGGCGTGGAACGCAGTAACTCAGAAACATAGACCAAGGAACAGGGGGGGCAGCGGGGGCGCTTGCCCCCCAACTTGGGAGCCGAGGGGGCGGCGCCCCCTCAACATTGAGGCAGCGTGAAAGGATCTTTCTTCCCTTTTCCGGACTTCTTTCCTTCTTGTTTTCCATCTAAACATCATCACACGGCATTTTCCTAGCCATCTGAATGGTTTCTGCTGATACAGTATCGATTTCACAACATCTGCTATTGTTATCCCGCTTTGGTTTGGGCCTGGCCTTGGCCATGAGTTTGGCAGGCCAGATTTTATACTAGACCATTTTGAGAAAACTTTGAGAAATATATAACGTACAACGGTGGTAAAATCGTTAAGGCCTGGCTACACTATGCGTTTTCTGCGTGCGTTTTTGCAGGTTTGCGTGTTTTGCGTAATATCGTTCTAGGAAAAAAGTTATAAACTATATAATTTTTACTTTGGTTATATACAAAAGCTAGTATAACCCTTATGTAACTAAAATTTAAGGTGAAAAACATCACAAAAACGTAATAACCTTCTTTTTTTCTAGAACGATATCACGCAAAACACGCAATCACGCAAAAAACGCACGAAGAAAACGCATAGTGTAGCCAGGCCTTTACTATAATATAGGTATAACACAGTTTACCCGCTCCGGGTGTGAGGGAGGGGTGTGGGGCAATGAGTGCACTGACGTGGCGCCCTCGGAAGGCCGGTATCTATGGGATTAAAGCTCAGCGACACTAAGGGCTTGTCTGATGCATTTGGTTATCGGTAGCACCCTCAGAATCACCGGCGTATAGGGCCCTCAGAGCCGCCGCGCCGGTAAGGGGCCTTTAGAGGCATTGGTATGGGCCGCGATGCATGGGTGCCGGTTCGGGCGCACAGAGGTGCTAGTGTGATTGTCCTTACAGGCGTTGCTCTGGGATCTCATAGACGCTGGTGTGGAGCCGTTACAGACGGGTGTGGGGTCTTTAGAGCTGCTGACGCGAACCCTATACAAACCAACAGGGGGAAACCCAACAGGAACTACAAACCAACCAGTGACCGGCACGGGGCCCTTAGGCCGGCAGAAGAAGTCTTGTGGGGTCCTTAGAGACCGGCATGGTACTGTCAGACGCCGGTGGGGCCCTCAGGGCTCAGAGTCACCGGTGTGGGGCCCTCCAAAGTTTCCAGTGGGTGGCCTTTAGATGCGCAGGTGTTGACTGTTGTATCCTCAGAGCCGCCGATACAGGGCTGGTAAAAAAGCAAATTGCGTCCCCGACCAAAAAATGAGAGCGAAAAATGACCCCGACCTTTTTACGATTCATGTAGGTATGCAGGCTGCATGCAACTACGATGCGCGTTTCCTTAGGTTTCATTTCTATATTATTTTTTTTTTACGAGCAGTCATATGTACTAAATTGCTTATCAGACTCGCGCTTCGAAATTTCCAGTTTGTTAATTAAATGTCACGGCATCA